AAAACAAATATAATAATAATAATAATAATAGCTATGAAATGTGACATTTAATTTAATTAACTTATTGTTTGCTTTTAGCCAATGGTTAACTCCTATATATATATATAAAGTTATATAATATAGTATTATATGAAGTATTATATGAATTATTATTATTACATATATATATAAACCATAATTACTATATGTATTAAATTTACTTAAATAATTAATAAGATTTACTAAAATAATAAGATTAATTTATATTTAATAGTATACTTTAATAATAATTAATACTATAAATATATAATATATATACAATATATGATATATGATATTACATACATAATACAGTATTAAATAATTTAAATAATAATAATTAAAAACAAAATTAAGTAATAATTTTTACCAACAAAAAAATATTAATTAATTAATTATTTGATTTTATATTTAAAAAAAAAATTATTTTTTCATAGGTTTACTATTTGGCTTAAAAAAACTAATTAATAAAAAAACAATCAGTTTATACCTTAATAACTACTACTACTACTACTACTACTACCAGTGCTATACTTATATACTGTATTAGTATTTATCAATTATACAGTATTTCAAAAGCACCGTTAGATTGTATAATATTGTAATAAAAATACCCGAAATATATATATATATATATATATATAAACTTTATATCATTACCGGATAGACTAGACTAACGGGTAGTCTAACGGATAGTCATAAACAACAACAACAAAAAATAAGACAATCAACTAAATAATAATAATAATAATAATAACTGATAGCACCGGTAGTTTTTTTTGTTGATGATAGCACCAGTAGATGATTATATGGCATCGACTTATCATCACTGACTTACTTATAATAATAATAATATTAATAATAATTGAAATAACATTTATTTTTATTTTTTTGGTTTCATTATTACTGTATATCTCTAAAAGTATAAAAACAAAATATATGAAATAAATTTCTAAACTTATAATAATAATAATTATTATTATTTTATATATAATAACATTTAAAAAATAATAATAATATTTATATTATAATAATTGACTACAACTATGATTACAACTAATGATCACATAGTAGTCAACAATAATTTTATCAGTATTGAAGGTAAGTGTCTAATAATATTTTTTTTTAATTAAATTTAATTATTATTATAATTAAAAGTTTAATTAATTTATTTGGAAAATTTTTTTGACACAAAAAATAAATATAATTTTTATAAATAAAAATTAAATTATTAATTTTTTTATGTTAATTTTTAGTTTATATCATAAATTACTAATTTTATGTTAACAATATATATATATATATATCATCGTATATATAAATATAAATATATATATATATATATAAATATAAAATGTTAGATAAGAAAAATAATATAAAATTTTTGTTTAACATTATTAATATATTTTACATGAAAATAACATTATTTGCATAATAATAATAATAATATAGTAATACATAATAATATTGTTATTATTAATACAATATTTTTTTGGCGTAATTTCTAAAGTCTCTAAAGTCTTAAAACATACACAAAAAAATAATAATATATTTTTTTATAATAGAAATAATATAATATATATATATATATATATATTGTTTAACATATAATATTTAAAAAAATAAAAAATAAAATCAATTTTCATATATTTAATACCAAGGGTTAAGTTTGTAATGAAATTAAATGCTATAAAAACCATAGAAATAAATTTGTAAAAACTAAAATTTATTTTATTATTATTTTATTTAAAAGTGTTTTTATTTAGTTTTGTGAATCTCGAAATTTTTATATGAATTTTTTTTTATTGTTAGTAATAATATAATTAAATTTAAAATACAATTTATTTGTTTATTTGTTTTGCTTTTATGATTGCTTTATTGAATTAAATTTATTATTGATAGTTATGTACAATATATTGATATATACGGTAAATAAATAAATAAATAAATATATATATTATATAGTACTGTATATTGTTATTAAATTGAATATAAATTTATAGATATATTATATTTAGGAAATTGATGTTATGTTTTATATATATATTAATAATCAATACAGTAATACATATTTTTGTTTTTAATAAAAAAAACTAAAACTTTAAATATATATCAATATTTATTTTCAATTATTTAAAGGACAACGAGTTTATATATATAATAAAAATCAATAAATTGTATATAAAAATAGATTATTTTTCCACCTAAAAGGTTAAAATACATTAAAAATTTCTAACTAAAATCTAAAAACAATTTTTCTAAAAATAATATTTTAAATTATAATTATTATTAATATTATTTTTTGAACAAATTATGCTAAAAGCAAATAATATATATATATTATTTTTATTTAGAAAATTCATTATTTTTGCATAAAATGTTTAATCTATTTGTTTGTTATAAATTAATGAATATTTGTTTAATATTTATTAATATTAATATATAATATAATAGTATTTTTATTTGTTTTTTTAAAAATATTAAAGTATTAAATTTAATGGATTGATTTTTTGGATAAGCAATTAATTTTATATAATATATTTGACAAAATAGTTTTTATTATTATATTTAAAAAAAATAAATAAATAAAATTAATTGTTTAATCATTAGAAAAAATATTATATATTAATATTTTTAATAACAACAACAAAAATAATAATAATAATTATTGTTTCATATAAAATAAAAACTTAATTAATTAAACTAAAATATTATTATTATTCAATAGTTATTTCGTAGTATAATAATTGTGATATAAGTTTTTTTTTGACATTTAATTAAATTTTAAAAACTAAATTTTTTTTTATAAAAACAATTAATTTTGTTGTTGTTGTGTACATACTTTAAATGTTATAAATAATTATCAAAAAATATCAATAATAATAATAATAATTTTTTTTACTTTCAATTATAATTAATTTTAGGCCAAAAGAGTGCACTCCTTTATATAGTAATACTACTGTCCTTTTATGCGGTAGTATTGGCACTGATTATAGTTAAACAAATGAGACAAGAGTTTGAAAACAGTACCGACACTACCGATACTACCGGAGCCATTGGACAGCGGCATATGATTGACATCCGCCACAAATCTTACTATACATACCCCAGGATAAGCCGATACTACACAAGTCAACCGTCACCATCAGCAGCACCACCAGCAGCAGCAGGTGCTGCTAAACTTGAATTAAATTCAACCCAATTATATGTACCCCCAGTGCCAGTGCCAGTACCGGTGCCGGCAGCCAAACAACGGTGTTTAGTAAATCTAACGGCGCTTAAGACTACTACCACCACCACTACTACTACTACTACTACGTGTAATAATCAAACAGTTAATAAAGTTTTGGCCAAACATTTAGCAGACAGTAGTAGTAGTAGTAGTAGTAGTAGTGATGTTACGTTTGTGTAAAATTTGTGTGTTTTGTTTTTAAATAAATAATTTAAATTTAATTTAACTTAATCATTAATATTTTTAAAAATATATTTGTATTGTAATTATATATATATATAATATATATTGAAAAATTAATATTTGTATAAAAATTATTAATAATTTTATAATTTATCTTATTTTGTATTAATGATGTGTTTGTAAATTTTTTTTTTGTAAATTTTTTATTTTTAAATAATTAAAATTGTTAATATAATAAATCATATATCATTTATATATTTATAATATTATTATTTTTTTGTTGTTGAAAATTAATTGTCTAATATCAGACAATCATCAAAAAAAAAATTTATATTCAATTCAATAAATTAGTAAATAAATAATAATAAAAAAATAGATAATTTAATCAATTTTTTTGTCTCCCTATTATTTATATTAAAAAAATAGATATCATTATTATATAAAAAAAACAAATAATTTATTATATAATATTTTGTTAAATAATAATAATAATAAAACATAATTATATGTATGTAATACAGTATATTTGATATGTTTATTATCTAATAAATTATATTAAAAAAATTATAATATTAATATTAATATACTGTATATATTATAGTACAGTAGAAACCGAAAAAAAATAAAATAAATTTTTAATAAAAATATTTACATAACAAATAATAATAATAATGTCATTATTATATTTATATAGTTTATATAAACTTTATATACGGTATATAAATATATATTTTTTGTTAAAATATAATATTACAACTAATTTCAAATGTAAACACAGTATACCAGTATATAATAATAATAAAATATTCAAATAATATTTTTTATTATATTTATAAAACATATTAATATAAATTTCTTAAGTATACACAAAAAATAAATAAATATTATAATTGAAAAAAATAGTTATTTATTTTCACATAAAATGCTTAATATATTATTAAAATCAATATTTTATTATTTATATAATCATTTTAATAACAGTTAAATAAAAATAATATTCAATTAAATTTTATATCAAAATACATATATATTTAGTGTAAATATGGATAAATAATGATAAAATATACTAAATTTAATATATATATTATATATAATGAGTTAAATTATAATAGATTATTGTCTATATAAACATGTAATGTAAATATATATATAAATATATAATTTTTTATAAATTATATTATATAATAAAATACATATTCAATAAAAATAGTTTATTTATATAACAACTAAAAAACAAAATAAAAAATTGTTTATTATGTAGATTATAGGTATTAAAAATAAGTTTAAATAATAGTAAATTTGTTATTAATTAAATTAATTTGTTATTATTTTATAATAAAAGGCACATATGTTTTATATATATATATATATTATGTAATAATAATAATAATCATAATAATTGAAAAACAAACACAATTTTTTTTAATAACATTTTAAAAATTTTTAATTATTTAAATAAATCATTAAATGATTGAAAAAAAATAATAATATAAAATACTGTTTTATAATTATTATTACATTTATAAGTATTATTAGTTAATTAATAATAATAATAATTATATTAAAACTAATTGGATTTTTTATTAGCCAAACGTGAGCCAAACTTTTTGCTAGTTGCTACCGGTGCTGACTCACTGGCTACCGGTGCTGCTGCTGCTGGACCTGTATTATCAGGTTTAGCCGTTGTTTTTGTAGTCGGTGTAGTAGTTGTAGGACTGGTAGTACCGGCACTAGTAGTAGTTTGTGTGGCCGACTTTTGTTTCATCGATGATGATGTTGACACAACTTTGGCCACCTTTTTGACCGTACGTTTTTTGCTACCAGTGCTTGATTTAGGATTAGTCGATTTGATGACTGCAACTGCACCGTGCGATTCGGTTCCGGCAAATATATTTTCAAAACTATCGGCCCTGACCTTAACGGGTACATACCGTTGATAGGAATCGATTACCCGATATTCGTGTTCGCCATCCATGGCCGCTGCCCCGGAAGCTCCGGCACTACTGGAAGCTACCGGTGCCGCTGAAACACCACCTGAACGATCCTGTTTGCCGTCTATTGGCGCTAAATATACATTAATATATTGATTATTATTTTTATTTTTTATTTTTTTTTTGGAGAAAAAATAGTTTTTATTTAGTTATATATCTTAATATATTTTTTTGTAGTAATAATTATAATATTAATAATAAAAATTAATTAGTATTATTGTATTGTATTATATGAAATAAATTTTGTTGTTTTTTTATTATTTCAAATTAAATTTTAATTAAAATAATAATGAATTTATATATAAAAAAATTAATACTAATTTTGTTTATTTATTTAATTATTTTTTACGATATTTATGTATTGTATTATCTCATAAATAATTTTTTAAAAACTATTATAAAAGTCAATAGGTGACCAGGGATAGGCATTTAATTAATTTTATTATTATTTTTGTTTTTAATAATTTTATAATACAAACAATTAAATACTATATAATTATAATATATGTATTAAATTATATGAAAAAATAATATTAAATAAAATATATCTGAAATTAAGTTAAAATAATTATTAGAAAAAAATAAATAAATAAAAGCAATTAATATAAATCTAAAGTAATTTAATTTTACATATATATATGTCCAACAAAATACTAATTGTTTTTAATTTAATTTTTATTATTATTTTTATTTCATATATATATATGACCCCATCCTAACCTAACCCATAGGGCTATTAAACATAAACAATAAAATATTACAAACAAAAAATTTAATTTAAATAATTTAAATATAATTATACTTTAAATAAGTGGTAATTATGTAAATAACAAAAAAAATAAATCTAATATATTATATATTTAAATAAAATTCATATATATATATATATATATATATATATATATATATATATATATATATATATATATATATATATATATAATTACAAATAAAATTTATCATTAAATGGTTCAATAGTGATAAAAACCTATTTATTTTTATAAATTAATGTTTAGTTAAAATTCAAATAAATAATTTTGTTTTATTAAAAAAAAGTATATAATTAATAATTTAAAATAAAATTATCTTTTATCTGAAAAAAATAACAGTAGTAGCCCTGAGAAAGTAATATTTAAATTAGTTTTATTTATAAAATATTATTTTAATTTTGTTGTTAAAAAATATTAAATATTATAAATAAAAAATTAAACTACGTCATATATATTCAATATTTAATTATTATAATAATTAATAAATAGTAATTAAATTTTAAGTAATAATTTATTAATATATTTTTTTAATTATTCAAATAACTAAATTGTTTTATTTAGAAATGTTTAGTATCGATAAATATTTCAATTAGTAATAAATTAAATAAATAATTAATTTTTCTTAACACTAAATAATATTGAATTTAAAAAAAACTAATTATAAAATATTTAATTTATTTATCACTAATTTTTATTTAAAAAATTTATTTCTAATTAAGTTTTAAATTTACTTCAAAAAAATAAATAAATATTAGTTTTCTAAATAATTATTAGATATAAAATTTTCTTATTTAAACAAAATATACATTTAATCTTAAATTAACCTAGTTTAATTTATATTAAATTTGTTGGGGGCACAGTGAACCCCCACCCACCCCTCACTCCCCCATACCTGCATATTGCTGGAAAGCCTTTTCAACGTCAACTGTCAGGGGACTGGACTCGGAGCTAAAAACTATACGCAACGGTGCCTGAACTGGCTCAACCTCGAACACATGTGGCTCGTATTGGTGATCCCTTTCCACATTCAATACCTGTGCTCCGCCACCATTGCTGTTGCCGTACTGACCGCCGCCACTACTATCGGTGCCTTCGATCTCAAACGTACGGTGCGATTGGATAGGTATGGATATGGCATCCGATCGGACGATATCCACATAACAACAGCAAAAATACCACAAAACGCACAAATAATTTAACTATAATTTAATTTTTTTTTGAATAATAATTGAAAAGAATATTAATTTATTAATTAATAAATAATTTTTTTTATAATTATAAATATAAAAATTTTAAACATTATTTTTTTAGATGGAATTATTAATAAGTTTTAAACATTAATAAATTACTTTTAAAAAAAATTTAGTTAAAACTATTTTTATAAAATCACAAATAAATTTTTTTAATGAAAAAAATTAAATAATAATAAAAACAATTTTTAATTACATTTTTAAGCATTTTTTTGTTGTTAAACTATAGATAGATTTTTTTTGTTGAATATTAAAAATAAATCCAAAAATAAAAAATATTAAAATAATTTGATGAATACTAACTAAATAAACAGTAGTTTAATTGAAAATATAAATTTCAATAAAATAATATTATTTTTGAAAAATTTTCAATTTAGTCACAAACACTGTTCACTGTTTAAGAAAATTATTAAAATTAAAATTTTTTAGTAAAAATAATTAAAAGTGAAAACTAAATATTATTATTATTATTATTATTCATAATATAGTTTATATTGAAAACAAGTTTCAAGATTATTAACAACAAAAATATTGAATATATATATTATTGAATATATATTTTTTTTACAAATAAAAACTAAATAATTTAAATCTAGTTTTATTTGTATGTTTTTAATCGCTGTCCAAAACAACAACAACAATTTTTAACAAATAAATTTTAAGTATAATATATATATTACTGTATATATATATATATATATATATATATCAATAATATAGTATTTAATACAAACAACAACAGGTTTTTTATTATAGTAGTAGTAATTTCACCAAAAAAAAAACTAAATAACAATAAATAAAAAAAAAACAACAACAACTTTCACTTACACTTACAATAAATTGAAAGTAATTATGTTAAGTGTATATACAGTACAATAATATATGTATAAAGGTATAGAAAATACAGTAAAAGCCACGTCTAATATATGCTAATAATCTATTGGATTATTAAATCCAAACCCATATATGAAAATCCAAAAACATTTCCACTCTCTCTCTCTCTCTCTCTCTCTCTCTCTCTCTCTCTCTCTCTCTCTCTCWCTATCTCTCTCTCTCTCTCTCTCTCTCTCACTCACTCACTCTCGCTCTGACTTTCTCTTTGAATATCTATTTATCTTTCTATTAATTTGTTATAACTTTCTCTTACTTTCTCTCTCTCTCTCTCTCTCTCCTATTCCCAGACACATTAGACTCTACATCCTGTGTGTGTGTGTGTGTGTCTGTGTGTGTGTAAGTCATATAAAAATTTTTAACGACACAACTAATAAGTGGGTCATTGGGTCAAAGGTTATCTACACATATAGTGTGTGAGTGCGCCTACCAAATGAAAGCAATACCTAACCTACCTATACCAGCCAATACATAGACATAGACACTGTATGTATAACTGTATTTGACACACACATACACACACACACACACACACACAAACATACACACACACACACACACACACAYACACACACATACATACACACACACATACATACACACACATACATACACACACACATACATAGTGTAATAAAAATACAGTAAATTAAATCACATTCACAATAATGTCTATGATTTATAATATATATATATAATTAAAAAAATATTATAATACATATATAAATAATATTAGATGCACAGTGTATATATGTATTTAGATAAATTAAATATACAATCATATTATTATTATTATTATTATTATTATTATTATTTAAATATAATAAACATACAACAACAAAAATATATTTTTATTATCAATATATATATATATATAATAAAATATTTGTATATTTATTATTAATATTAAATATAAATAAATATGTAATATAAAATTGATAATTTAATATTATATTTAAAAAAAATCATATTATTTTAATCCTACTTATCCATAAATTCAATTTATTTATTTATATAATATATATATAATATTATATTACAATAGATTTTTTTATAAAAAATCTTTTTTAAAAAATCATTTTATATATATATATATATTTATAATAAAATTCATACTGTATTAACATTGATAAGGATAATAATAATAATAATAATAATATCAAAAAGTTATATAATATTGAATATTTACTGTTATTTATTATTATTATTATTAGTATTTTGAAAAATAATAATAAAAATAAAACATATTATTGCAAAAAATACGATTTGATTTTTTTAAAAATAAAATTTAATGTACTGTTTATTATGCAATTCAAACAAAAATAATATTAATAAACAATAATATTTAAATAAATAAAAATAAAAACAAAACAAAAATTATTACTTAATACTGTTTTATAGTTATATTATAATAAATATGTTTTATTGTTTGTAATCTATTGGGATATAAAATATTATTTAAAATGAAAAAATATGTATACAATAGCTATATATAAATATAATTTTTTAAAATAATTAAATTTTATTAATTAGTTTTGTCACTAATTATTATTATTAATAATAATTATAATAATACAAAATAATAATATTAATAACAATTGCTATTTTATTGCACAATAAATTAATAACTAGTGCTCTAAATACGGGTTTTAAAAAAATAAATAAAAATATATTTAATAATAATAATAATAAATTGATTTCACAATTAATTTACAAATACAAAATATAGTATAGTATACTTACTTTTTTTAATTTAATTAATTCATACATAACTATTAATAAATAATTATTAATGTAATTTATTACTATTTTTAAAAAATTTTTTAGTAATTAATTTTAATCTATGATTATTTTTTTGTAATTTTTTTGTAGTATTAGTACTACTTAATAGTATTTACTGGTATTTTTACAAACAATAACAACAAAAAAAAATAATATTTTAAAATGTTTTTTACAGTAATTTTTATTTATAGAAAATATTAATTAATTTTTTTTAATAAAATGTAATTTACTTTATTTACTTAGTATATAAATTTTAATAATTTTAATAAATTTTAGTATGCATTAAAAAATTTATGCTCAATAGTTTTATATAAATAAATTTATTATTTATTTATTTATTTTTTTTAATTACACAAAGTAGCTTTTTTGAAAAATTATATTTAAAAATACATATTTTTATTTATACAGTAATATTTTATTATTTAACTAATATTTATCATAAACAACAAAAAAATTTTCACAAAATTATTTAAATAATTATTAAATTAATACTATAAATAATTTATAACATCAGTCATAATACTGTATATAATAGTATTAAATAATTATATAATATTATTTAATACAATTATTATTACCAATTTATTGTTAATTTCTAATCTATCAGTAAATATCCTATTTATTATATATGTTATACTTATACTATAAGTTATATTAAACTAATCTATATATATATATATATATTAATATTATATATTTATAAACATTTAGCCATTAAATATAATAGTATTAGACAATTATATAATATAATTAAGACAATTATTATTAAATTTATTGTTAATATCTAATCAATCAGTAAATATCATATTAATTATATATGTTATACTATACTATAAGTTATATTAAACTAATCTATATAATATTATATATATATTTTTGTATAAATTATATATTATTATGTAACGCATGTATAATATTGTATTATCATATAAATATTATCTAAGAAAATATTTATATTATATATATATATATATATACCGATATATTACTAATATTATATATTTATAAATATTAATATATTAATATTTATAAATCATAATGCTAGTCTAATAATTATTAGAAAAATTATCTATCAAGTAAATAACAATAATATTAATAAAAATATAATTAAATTAAATATACAATATATAATATATATATATATTGTATGTATAATATTAATTAAAATATATRTATAATCTATTGATAATATATGAATATTTTAATAATATATTATTATTACTGTATTAAATTGTTACTAATATTAAGTATAATTTAAATCATTATTGAATAATAATAATTAATATTATTATTAGTATATTAACTATAGATAATAAATTATAATATCAAATCAAAAAAAATATTGTTTCATTTTCTAATGAAAAAAATACTAATAAAAAAACAAAATTTGAAAAAAATATATTTCAAAATATTAAAACTTATGAAACATTTTCTAATCTATAGTTAAAATTTCTATGATTTCTTTTAAACAAAAAATTACGTAAATATACTAATATTAATAATAATATATATTTTTATAGTTTTTTTAATCACTTAATAAATACAATAATAATAATAATTTTATGACGTATTAAATATATTATTGTTAAATAATAATCAATAATAATTGTGAAATAATTTTTTCATTTGTATTATTATAAAAATTTATTTTTTTTAGAAAACAATAGTCAATCTTACAGTATATATAAAAAATAAATAAATAATTTTAAGAATAATTATTTTTATAATATTAGTAAATCTATGATTTTTATGAAAATTAAATTATTATTATCACTATTATTATTATTATTATTACAATATTACATACTATACCTTATTTGTTAATATATTGAATAAAATTTATTTATTTAAAAAATATAGTAAAATCTAATAAAAAATTACTATAAATTTTATTTGATTATATAATAATTTAACGCAAAAAATTTCTATTGAATTTTTGTTGTTATTTTTTATTACATTATAATTTAATGGCAAAATCTATCGACAATATGGTTAGACTTTATATATATATAATAATAATAAAAAACCTAAATATCCGTAAATTTAGTGATAACTTAATATATGATTTCATATGAAAAAACACTTATTTATTATTATTATTATTAATATTATTACAGTATTAGTAAAAAAAATTATTTTCTATAGAAATTTTTAAATTATTGTAATTTATTTTTGTTAAAAAATTTTTGAAATTATTTTTTATCCTATTATGAATATATATTTAAGCAGATTTACTAATTGATTACTAGAAAATAGATTAAAAATTATTATTATTA